TAATGGTCTGAAATAGCCAGAAGCTGTTATCAGCTCTTATTAATGGTCAGAATTTGTCCATCAGTGGTCGAAAATGGTGGGGTAGATGTACCATTCTTCTTCTATCAGTAGTCACAGTATGAACGAAACTTCTAAATACAGATCTCGAATGAAAATGTAATTTCTATAAACAGGGAAACAAATTTTCAGCACAATGTACCAACCCAGTGAGCAACATTAACATTGATAAATCGAGGTACATCCGTACCCGGATAAGTGCATTTGCTTCAAAGAAAAGTGTCGACCTTCCATCCTGCCCGTGCAATTTAAACATCGACACAGTCGAATTCGTCGGAGGAAGATTGATATACGAAGGGTTGATCGATTATAAGGTACGGGATTCGTTTTCGGAAATGGACGTGGAACCGGAAGGGAAAATCCAGGACTAAAGGCGCCGGTAAGCGATCGTCGTGTCGGCGCCGGTTTGCAAACAACGGCAACGATGATCGATAACCAGCGCAAACAACGCTCGTCAAACTTTCCCTTCCGATGCACGTATCACTGCGGAAGAATTTCTTCGCGTTTGTTTCGAAACTGTTCTTCCATTCTCCTCGGTATTGTCTCCCTGTTCCCGCATCGCGACCTCCTCGGCCATTGTTTGTCTTTTTCGAAGGTTAACGCTGCCGACGTGCAAACACTCCCGGAGGTTCCCGTTTTGGAGGTTAGCGTTACTTCTTCCACGTAACGAGACTACGGACCGCGGAACGCGATGCTGCAAAATTTAACACATTGCGGACCACTGACGTGCAGCTACGATTTTCAGAGCTCTGGCGGTTAGGCAGCATTTATATAGCGGATACACGCTGGACTGACGAGAAAAGAACCACAATCGTAACCTATTGGATTCCAGGGACTGTTCGTGGGATGGCAGAACACGTGTTTCTAACAACTTGCGTGAAATATTAGATACTTGGAAAATTTAAAAATAAACTGTGTATAATTTCTTAGTTAAATGTGTCCTTAATAATAAAAGTTTACATCGAGTGAATTGGAATTAGAAATTCCAACTCTGAAATTGATTAAGTATAAATGTTTCAAAATGATAAAATAAGTCAGGGGGCAAATTCTTGACGCGAAAAGAAATCGAAAATGTCCTTTGCCATTTCAGAATCCGTGGCTTCGTTTCCTAGATACAGGCGGTTGAAGTTTGCATCGCTTCCAGCGTCCGCCATGTTGATTCCAGCGCGCGCCAAAACTTCAACCGCGTGTATCTCCTGAACGAAGTCTCGTATCGCGAAACGGCAAAGGACTTTTCGGTTCCTTTTCGAACAAAGAATTTATATTCCCCCATCGTTCCAAAAAAATCTGTATAATACACGATAAAATGCATTAAAATGGAGACGCGAAACGAGTTATTACCTGGTTTATTATTTCAGCATCTTCGGCGCGCTACCCCGACCTGAATTCCATCGTTCGTCTCCCTCTCGTTTTCGCAGATTTCACGGCACACAACGCGATAACCGCGATGAATAGATAACGAACGAACAATGCACAGTGACGTACTCGCGTCAACGGAATTAATCGGATTTCGAGACACAGAACGAGCGAGGCACTCTCCTGGCCTGCGAAGATGCGCGTATCGATCCACGGAATTTCGTTAGCACGCGTTTTAATTCCTTTCTATATATATTTCTTTTTTTATTTTCAATCGATCGAAGGCAACCGTTAGCACGACGGAATATTTTCAGATATTTTTTGCGCCGCATAACGAATTAATTTCGATCCTCCGCCATTGATTAAACAGAGGCCACATTTTTTGCCGTGAAAATATTAATTCACGTATCCTGTATTTCTAACGTTTTATACAGTTAATTTACTTGATAATTAATACTCTTACGAAATGTGACTGAAGTCAATCTCAGTTTGTAAATAATTAAGAAATAACGTGTCTCGTTTTTCTGTATTAAATAATAACTGTACTTAAATGTATAAAACTAGAAAATATAGCGGACCAACGTAAGTCTGCTTTTCCCATCGATGGCCTCGATCGTAATTTCTTCGGTTCGTTTGAGGCTGAATAAATAATTTTATTTTCACATGGAAATTCACCTCCTCGCAAGCTTTTTTAGAACTCGGGTAATATTTTACCCTGGACAGGTCGTGGCTTCCAATGTTTTGTCGCATCTTCCATTCGTGGTTTGAAAAAAAGGAGAATCGAGAGTCGCGCGGTGAGAGGCAATATGGGTTCCGTCGAGAATCCCTTGGTTACAGGATGAAATAAGAATCTGGGTTCGTATAAAGTGCATCGCGGGGAAGACACAGAGTCGCCGGGAAAAAGAGAAAAATTAACGGAAATTTTCAGTCGCTAGGCACTCGCGGCGCCGGGGGGAAGTAGTTTGCTACATGAATTGGAAAGTTTCGCGAATATACAACATCACAGCCCTACAATGACGGTCGCGGCGGCGGGCAGCGATGCGCTTTCAACTATCCAGGAAGCCACTCGCGAGCATCAAGCAGCTGAATGAGAAAAGTTATGGGCGCCGCCGTTCTGCGTTTTCATTTTACGTTTGCAATAACGCGGCCAGACCGGCGTCAATTGTTCTTGGGAATCGTTTGATTTTTCATATCGTCGTTAGTTCGCGTCCCGAGTTCGGAATAAAAGTTAACGGGATGAGACAGAGTTCCATTCCGGTTCGTGGAAGCTCCAGGAAAACTGTATTCTACGTTTCGTGGAGAACCGACTTTAGTTTTAACAATAATCCTCGATATTCAATTTGAAACTTTTTTTCTTTTACAATTATGTTCGTAGAGTGGATGATTCAGTTTTCGATATATTTACTATTTTTCCATATTGTAGAAGCTTTATACACCAAAATATCGATTATCCAACATATTGGAGACTGGACCAATGTCGGAAAATCACATTTCTTGCCACATATTATAGTTTCGGTAAAGAATTTTTTTTCACGAAAATGCAGAGGATTTCGGGGGTATGTTTATTGATAAAAAATGATTATAATTGACACCTGCAGCTGAAAATAATTTTTTCAGGACGATTTGAAATTTTTTAATTTTGTCAAAAAATGTCACACATTCTCGAATTTTTTTCCCGAAACTGAGTAGAATTTCGGGGGTATGTCTATTCACCAAACATTATTGTGATTGACGCCCCTAGCTGGAAATAATTTTTCTAGAACGATTTGAAATTTTTTTTTTCGCCGAAAAATTTAGGCACTAGCCCCTGTCGATCTTTCTTAAAAATTCGTCCTTCATTTTTAATAATTTTGTTTGACGCCCTACAGAAAAATTGTTTAATACTTTTTTGTAGATACCCATGAGCTTTACTTTAAAAAAAAGTTTCATTGAAATATATTCACTATTGTAGTAGTTATGGCTGTTTGAAAATTGGACCATTTTTATGGAGTTTTTCTAACTTCACGGGGTCAAGGAACATCTTTTCGAATATTTTTAGAATTTCTACATATTCTACACTAAAATACGCGTCGTTTGCCTTTTTAAACATTAAAATCGTCCAATTCGTTCAGAAGTTATGATATTTTAAAGATTTGCATGAAATTTCAGTGAAACATCTCAATGTATAGTCAGATATGAAATTTTCGGTAAGGAATTTTTTTCTCGAAAGTGCGTAGGATTTCGGGGGTACGTTTATTCACCAAAAATATTTGTAATTTACCCCAGCAACTAAAAATAATTTTTTTAGAGCGTTTTGAAATTTTTTAATTTTGTTGAAAAATTTCACACCTTCTCGAATTTTTTTCTCGAAAGTGGATATGATTCCGGTAGTATGTCAATTGACCAAAAATAATTGTAATTGATCCCTGCAACTAAAAATAATTTTTTCTAAACGATTTGGAATTTTTTATTTTTGTCAAAAAATGTTACGTCTATTTGAATTTTTTTCTCGAAAGTGGATAGGATTTCGGTAGTATGTCTATTAACCAAAAATAATTGTAATTGACCCCTGCAAATAAAAATAATTTTTCCAGGACGATTTGAAATTTTTTAATTTTATCAAAAAATCACATCTACTCGAATTTTTTTCTCGAAAGTGTGTAGGATTTCGGGGGTATGTCCATTGACCAAAATTGATTATAATTGATCCCCCTAACCGAAAATAATTTTTTCAGAACGATTTGAATGTTTTTTTTTTGCCGAAAAATTTAGTTTTTGATTTGTAATAAATTTATTTGACACTCCACAGTCTGACAATAAAAATTTTACCAAAACTTCTATTAAACAATGAATGAAATTTAAAAGCAACAATCATTTCTCCATACAAAGTTGAAATATCGTTTTATAATTAAGCGAATCGTTGCTTCTTGTTGGACCAAGCGTAGGTATAGCAAAACATGCGAACGCGAGCGAATACGAACGAACACGAGCGAACCCGAATAGACGAGAGAAGACACGTTTTTTCTAATCCCTAAGCTACCGTGTTTACAGTTTACATGCGTTCAGTTCGAATGTTGTCCTCGCGAGAATCAGTCGCGTTACATTAAGCCAATTCGTTTCATAAAGCCGTTATTACAGAGTACACTGTGATTTCATTCTTTCATATCCACTTATCCACTGCATATAAGCCTCAAAATTTCTAAAAAAGATACTCTAGAATGAAATACTCAATTAATGAACGCGTATCGAAGAATTGAATTTCTTCAGAAATACAATAGAAATCATACTCCAATTAATCAAATGTTTAAATATAAAAGAACGTATCTAACAACTGATTATAAAATTTATTGGCACAAATATTGACAACGTTTCGACCTGAAACCTTCTTTTTCTGTCTGACTCGATAGATGTTAAAGAATTATTTCTCAAAGAAATTCTCGTTCCACTTTACTGTTGTATACTGTTGTTTTCGTTTATTCTTTTCACGATACTCCCTTAGAATCGTAATAAAAATACAATAAAGATAGCAATTTCTATTTTTATCGCGGAATCCCTCTTCCTCGGACTGTAAGAAACGTTTCGTAACCTTTCTTTGCTTTCTTTTTCAGAAAACTCAAGGATGTGAACAATCAAACTAGCGCAAATGCCCAACAAGGCACGGCCTCGTCGAGAGTGGTCTCCCCAGTCCCCTATAGATGTATTGTAAGTACTTCATATTCACACAATAGAACAAATAATTACTCTGACGAAGCAAACACAGCTAAATTACAATACTCGATGGCACGAAATATTTTTAATACAAGTAATTCTAATGTTTTTATTACTTTTCCTGTATACATATAAACATCAAATTAGCGATTTATTTTCTTTGTTAGTAATTATTTAATAGATTTAGGTCCCCGACAAATGCAGTAAGATTTGAATAATTGTTTCAGCACGATTAATAATTTCGTCATAGTTTCGTTCCGAAAATTTCCCTCTGCCTTTCGTGCTTCCCAATTATAATTTCCTTCGTCGCGTTTTTGCAATTTATTCGAGCATTCTCTACGAACTCTTTTTCTAGCGCAAGAATTTCGCGAATTCAACCGAGAGAATGAAATATTCGAAATAGCTTTTAATAAATTTATTTCAAGCGATAATTTTAGGAAAGCTTCGCCATTGAAATAATCATGATGTGTTCAATCAATCGTGTTTTAAAATAATCTTCGTATCTCATGAACTTTGTCCACAAAAATATCTTCAATAATGGATACTGATAATGAAATATGTAGATTTCTCCTAAATAATACGCAATAGGTCGCGTGGTTTTAAGAATCTTATTCTATCGGAATGTTAAACTTGCACAGTAAGGAAAGGGGGGATTTTAATAATAAAAAAACTAGGTTTGCATCTTGTATGATGCTCGATCTAACTTTTATCTTCTTTGCGGGCAAATTAGCTAATTAAAGTTCCCGGGGATAATCTCCGTGACGAGAAGATCGTTGCTTTCCGCAGATTCTAATTGAACTAGTTCGCGAGATAAGGTCTTCAATTTTAACGCAACGGACATGGCGAGAAGTCACGAACCGGTCGACGCAACCGGATGCAATTAGAAGGTAGAAACGGTGTACCGTGATCCACGCTGTCCTAAAACTATACTTATCATAACTGCGGCAATCTCTCCACGAATTACATCGAAAATTGTCGGGGGTAGCGGGAAAGCCGCCTGGAATTTACTCCTTCCTGGCGGATAGTGGTTTTCCTTGCAAATAAAATTCCTTCGTTACACGAAAGCTGCATTTTCTATAAAATTAGGCTTTCCTTATAGATACAAGAATAATAATGCTCCCCTAAATAAATTCTACATCATTTCTGAACTAAATAAGCGAATTGGGATTAACAATTCTAACTCTGAAGTATAAGTATTTCATAATGATAAAACAAGTTGAGGGGCAAATTCTCGATGCAAAAAGAAAGTGAAAAAGTTCTTTGCCATTTTGCAATCGGAGGCTCCGTTTTCTAGATATGAGCGGTTGAAGTTTTGTTGAATCTAGCGCGCGCCATTTTGAATGTCCTAGACTGATTCTCGCGCGTGAAAACTTCCAACGCTTGTATCTCGAAAACGAAGCCTCGAATCGCAAAACGGTAAAGGACTTTTCGCTTTCTTTTTACGCGAGGAATTTATATTCCCCGTTATAAATATGGTTTTCCATGCAAGTTAATATTTAAACGCGAATTCCACCCAAAAGGAAACAATATTAGCTTTGTCGAAAGTAAACTTGTAATTTATAACAGAGAAAAGGAAATTAATGCAATCAAGAATTGTAATAAAACAAAGAATGGACGTTCAACTGTTTAACCTGTACCATTCTGTATTTTTAAATTCCTTCGCCAGCATTGTTACGCTAACATTTTAACATTTATGCAGTGCTCTCCCGCAGTTCCAGCATATTTCCTCAAGTTTTCGTGCCTGGCCCTATGAATAGTAGAGGACAGTAACGTTGTTCGGTTGACGATCGGTCGTTCGCATGAATGTTAACCGTGGAAATTGCGATTTGTCACAATAATACGGTCGATGGGTTTCCACAGAGAGATCCTGACGATGCGAGATAAATATTTGGCGTTACGCCGAAAGCTGTCTTTCTCTCTCTCGACTTCGGTCGCCAGAATCAACCGATCGAAACCAGAGAGCAGAACGACTCTGTGGTTTTTCGACGCCGCTTGTTTCCCTCGGATTGCCTTCCAGTCGACCAATAACTTCCTTTCTTCCCCTCGAAATCGTTTGGCAGATCCTGATTTTTTGCAATCCGCGAATTAAATCGCAACTTCTTTCGTGGTTTCGCGTATACATATTACTGAAATTGTAATAAAATTAAGATTACCGTGAACAGTGGTCTCAAACGACCTCGAAAGCCCAGAATTAAATTTCTGCCATTCCCTGGAATCGTATTTGCAAGGTTATCATTTTAAATTGAATTGCATACTGTGCTCCGATGATTTTAAATTACATTGTACGCTGTGCTCTATTAATTTAAAGTAAATTCCACGCCTCGACTAGATACACGGCCAAAGGGCGAAAGTCCGTCCCGTTTCATCTCCGCGTTTCGAAACTCGCAAGTTCGATGTTAGACACTTCACGATGCCGCAATATTAAGTTCCGTTGCCGCAATTACGCATGAAATTGCAACGGTTACGATTATGATTCTGCTTAAGCGTGCCTTCCAATGTACAAGGAAGCGGGCATTACGAAGTTTATAACCTCTTCGTTGCAATCGCCAACCGCCATTATTCTCTCCTTACTTCATTATCTGTTTCGTTGCGTTGTAGGTACTTTCGTTAGCAACTGTTTTAATTGAGCAACAAGGAGTAAAGGGACGCGAGTGCTCGAAAATTTATTACTTAGCAAACGTATCTTAACAAAGAGTTTCACTGAAATTTCTCCAATTTAGAACAGAAAATTATTTCTACTATATTATTGCATGCACTTGCATAATTAGTTTATTCTATTAACGAATTTGTAACGAAATACTTCAAATTAATCCATTCGTAGCAAAAGAGAAAATTTGTTTCTGATAATGTGTATTAAAAGAGGTGAAAAGTGAAAGAACACAGATTTATTCTCTTAGAATATCGAGACACAATAATAATTGACTAAAATGTAAGCAGTGGTCTTCTAAAAGAAAATTTGATTTTGCACTTTCTATAAAAATAACGAATATGGATTAAAATTTGTTAGACAGAGTTTAAAACTCGCGGCTTGGCGCCGTGTTTCTATTGGTCGCGCGTGAACCAATCACGCGTCTCTTCCTGCGTTACCGTTACCGTTACCGTTACGCGCCCTTTTGTTAACGCGACTCGGAAACCATGTGCAACGTGCACGCGTTGCGTTGCAGTTTAATTACAAATTAATGTGTTCTACTGTCTACAAATACTATATTCTTAAGTGTTGGTGAAACCGTGGGGAGTGTTTATTTGAAATGAATCCATCGCCCAAAGAAATTATGGACCCAAAACGACTGAGATCAAAACTGTTTCACGTAACGTGGAAGCAAAGCGAGGTTATCTACACGCGTCGCATCGAGGCATGAGTGCAAACTAATTTCTATTTCCATCTGTAAAAATACTCTTAAATACTCGTAAAACCATAGGAAGTGTTTATTCAAAAACAATCAATCGTTCTAAGACTTTTATATTTGAAATAATCCTTTTCCTTTAACTCTTTGAGGTTAAGTGGGTTAGAAACTGTCTTTTGCTTAGCTTTACAAGTATTTTTTAACCCACCTCAAAAGATTGATATATTTTATGTTGAATAATTTAAATGAACGTTTCTTCTCGCTTATTTGTATTAAAAATCATTCCGTGCAACTTTTTCTTTTGAAATTACCGTTTCGTGTGAAGATTTCGATAGCAATTTCTCGCATTAGCATTAAGTGGTGGGAATATCTACCGAATTATGGTGCATCGTGCTTGAATTGTTCGTTCGATGTATATTACGAGGGGATTATCGAAGTTGATTGTTTTTCACGTGATTATCCTCCCCCGACACGGTGTATCCGACACAGTATATCGTGGTTTGTTCTTGGTGGCCCGAGGCAGAAACAGCTGATTTATCGATTACAGTAGAAGCAATGAAACTGGGGTTCCTAGAATTGCAACATCGTGCGACGTTACCCGGGAAATGTGTTCGGTTAAGTTTCTACATCACGTATGTGAAAGTTCAGTTTGTCATTCGAGCTTCCGCCGTAGTGACGTCAATGTGTCCGTGCTGTATATTAAATATTTTATTCGCGAGTTTACTGGGACACATTATGGAATTTTCTTGCGACATCACGAAATTGTTTCCTAATAATTTAGCGTCGGTATTAATAATTTACAGGCTTTAGAATTTTATTTTTAAAATCGCCAACCCTTTGTTACTATTTAACTCGTAGATTTTAATCTTTTTTTTTTATTTGGAACTAATAAATTTTCACGAGAGAAATAGTAAAGATTGTCGTATTTATATATTGTAAATTTTCAAAATGTAAATTCAAATTTGGTACCTGTTATTTATTATACACGACGTATTAATATTGTAGACCATATAGGATTTTATTTTATAATTGTTTATCTACTTTAGGTATCTGAAAAGGATTGAGAAGAAGTTACGTTGTGCGATAAAAAATTTATATTTTAGATTTTCTATGTTTTATATTAGTATGGCGATGGAACTTAGGTTAGTTTACAGTCGAAGGATTTTATCAGTGGACGACACGAAGTGTTGGGTATCGATTTTAATGAAAATTTGTACGTGGCTAGTGAACCGAAATATATTTTATTCGAATTCAGACATTTCCGTCGATGCACCATGGTTTATGAGATTTTGAACAATGAGAATTGCCATAGTCCATTAGTGTGCGAATGGTACTCAGGCAGAAAAATATTTGATCTATGCTCGGCTGTTTGCATAAACGTTCGACAAAAATGGTTTACGAGATTTTTTTAACAATGCAGTTAATAATCGCCCTTTAGCGCACAAAGGAAATAATTCATTTAATAATTAAAATGAATTGCTGCGAAATCGAAAACCATTTTTGACTAATTTGGGTATTTTTGGAGAGAACTTTTTCCCATCACTGTTTATGCTATTGATAATTCGTTAATAAATGTAAATTATTACCAAATTAACTGAATTACATTCTATTAATTCGATAATTAAAAACAGAATTTTTCGAGAAATATTT